ATCGCTCGCTCGCTCGCTCTCTCTCGCTCCCAGCGCCGTGGACGCCCCTGGGCCGAGCAGCGAGTGCGCTCTGGTGCCCGACCCAACGACAGACGCCCCGGAGCCGGAGACGGTTGACTCTCGAGTCCCGCTCCTGCACCCTGCGTCCCTAAAGATGAATGTGAGAAGGGTGGAAAGCATTTCGGCTCAGCTGGAGGAGGCGAGCTCCACAGGCGGTAGGATGCAATAAGCATGCGAACGGGCGCTCGGCTTCCACCCTCCTTCCCTCGCAAGCCGAGACCCGGACCCCTTCCTCGGCTGGGGGACGCTTGTTGCCTTTGCTGCATGACAGACAGTCACCCAGGCGGGACTGAGAAGGGGAGGTGGGAGCGGCAGGAGTGGGGGAGCGAAGGAGACGGAGTGCACTCAAGGTCCAGGTCGGGGAGGAGATGTTTGAAGTGTGTGTGAAACTCGCCGGTGGCAGGGTCCCCTGCGATCGTGCGCCTACTTTTGCCTTCTCTGAAAATTTCCGATGTTGTTTATGCATCTGCCAGATGACTTCAGATCACACACTTCCTTCCGCTAACACCTGGGGATAAATAAGCTGAAATAGTATTGATCCTCTTCCTCCACTTTTCCTTTATGCTCCCAAACATTTTATTAAAACTCTATTTTCTCCCCTAACATACAGGCGAATGTTCCCCAGACCAGATGCTTCAGCGGGAGCGAATGTCTTCTCTGATTGTCAGTTTAAGTTTAGAGCGTTCAGAGAGAACGGTCCTCAGTGACACTTGGGAATAATTTATATGCAGTCCAACCTTGGAGAGTGCTGGGCACTCTTGTGCAAGGTGCTTGCTGGGCCTTCAGAGTATCGTGCATTCTGCGAAAGGAGGGAAAGGACCTCTTGTGATGAGTTTAGTGAGACCTGTAATGACATAGGGGACGAGACCCCTACTCCGCCGACGCTGTGTCTTTGGTTGAATGGATTTGTCATTAGGTGGCTTTGATGTGTACAGTTTTTCAGAGGAGCCATAAATAGAATGAAGGGTGTTGTAGGGGCCATGAGAGTATAGTGGGCTGGACGTTTCCCAAATTATGTAAGATGAGGGGTCACACCTATGGCCACAGCATAGTTCGGATTTACAGCATGAAAAACTTGGATCCGAGGGATGTAAAGTTGAAAGGAAAGTATTTCTACATTCTGTTTGTATTCAGGGAAATGGAGTTACTTCAATGATTTGAGTCTATCACTCTAATTTGGACATTGAAAACTGGATGCTTTCTCTTTTTTCCTTTCTCTCCAATAAATAGTTAAGGTCACTGCAAATGGGAAGACATTAGTCTTATTTGAATGAGAATTTTAAAGATAAAAGTCTAGGTCCTTTATAGGCTGGGAAAAAACCAATATGACTAATTACCTTTAAAGCCCTGAATTTGTCTTGTACTGATGTTTAGTTTTGGTTTCATTTATGGTAACAGCTTCCACTCATTGGAAACCAAAGAATGTCGAGAATATATCTTAGGAGGGATACTCCTAATCTTTAAGAGATTGAATTTTTCCAGAAAGGCATTGTAAGTGGAGGGCTGAGTAGTTGTTGAGTTCATAGGGTCTCTGTCTTAACAGATCCTTTGACTAAGAATAGAGTAAAGAGCTAGCCGTCCTATTAGGAACTGCATTCATGCACAACTTATAAACAGATCAGGTTATAGGGACATAACTCTGGACAACTAGGTGGCTTATATTGTTTGGCATTGTGATGAAAACAGCATTTGGGTCGTGCCTAGCCTTTAATTGGCCAGATGGGGTTGAAACAGCATGTCCAGCCTAGTCACAGGGCCACAGGTGGCTGAAATCGCTATTTGTTAGAAAATGAGAAAAACGAAATCACATCTGGGTAGTGTGATACGTTAAAAAAAACCTTTTGGTACCATATCGAGAATCAGTATGTGTTCATTGTTCGTTGGAGAATGGAAAGATGCTGGTTTATATCCTGGGTAAGATGAGACTAGAAGAGAAGAGTTTTCTGGCTTGAATTGATTTGACACCTGTTTCTTGAATTATATTCACATGTTTTCAGAGTTCATTGTCATATATTGGGAGAATAAAGAAGAAATAGTCTGGAGCATCTTTTTTTTTGTTGTTCTTATTGTTATTGTTTCAAAGTTAATATTAGAGAATGATCCCCAAATATGTAGTTTATATTATTTTCACCAAACATATGCTAAAGTACTTTGGCTATTTGTGTTCAGATATAAGATGCTCTTTACTAATCCTGGGATAAGAAAGGATCGCCAGCTTTAAAGGTTGGTCCTGTATTTTCAGTCCTTGTTTTAAAACGATAGTTCCCCATCTCCTTTTCTTTCAAATAATTGTGATTTTTGCATAGCTTCCGACGTGACTGTGATGGTACTCCTTAGATGGAGTTTTATAAAACGACTTAATCAAAAATTAAATAAAATTAAACCAGAGGATAAGACTGAGAAGAATGTATGAAGATGAGAGGGAAATCGGACATTGGACAACTGTGTGTGGGTGTGTGTGTGCACGGTTGCACATGTGTGTGTTTTATTATGACTTGATGCTAGAGCCTAAGTACTATGAAAAATGGTTTGCCGAGAGATGAAGGAAAAACTACAGGGCAAGGAAAGTGGGTGGGATGTAGGAAAGATAGGAACAGTGTCAAATTGCTTTGCTAGACCTTTAAAATAATATAGCTAAAAAGTTCATTCCCTACTCTCCTTTCAACAAGTAATGTTTTTTAGTCTGCTAACTGATCAACCGGACTTCCAAGTCACTGTAGTTGAAACGTTGTATATGCTACAGAGTACAAAAGATGGATACGTTGTAAATAAGTACCTAGGAGTAGAGAAGTTTCTTTTCAATTGCAGTGCTTACTTTTACCCCACCTCTCTCAGCTTCCACATTAAATCAAAAGCCTACCCAGGATATATATTTCATGTCATTGTCTAAACCCATTATTTTGCTCTCATGCTATAGAATCAAACATAATCCTGCTACCAGTGGAAAGATAGATAATAATTCAACAGTATATTTGAAAGAGAATAAGAAATAAGGTCAGAAAGAAAAAAACCCCTACAAAATTAGTCATTGGTGTCTTTAATTTGTGTCATCTAACTTAGAGATGGCAGATGTTATGTGATGTAATCTACAAGAGTCGGGAGGGAAATGTGTATTTCAGTAGTTGTTGGAGAAGGTCATCAGGAAGACCTGACCCTCCAGATGGACCTGGGTGATTGGTGGCTCCTTACCCCCTCCCACATCCTCAGAATGTGTATCTTGCCTACTGTTTCCATAGCTGGAGCCCATTTCAAGGATGCAGGCTTGAAAGGGCAATGTGTTGCTGAGACCATTTGGACGGTATATGTGACTGAACCCAGTTAAGGCCTCTACATAAACCTTTAAGATCCTGCTAGGCAGAGGCAGAAATCTACTTGTCCTGTGGCCGCCCAAGGCAAGCCTCCTAAGTAAATTCCCTTGCTTATTAAACCTGCTTCCTACCCATCTGGGTGTCTGCCTCATTCTTCAGTCTTTCCTTACCCTTCACATAACGGGGCGAGTTTCACATTTCACCTGTGAAGCTCTGAGCTAGGGAAGCAACAATAGTAGAGTGAAAAATCTCTTCAATTTTGAATGGTTTTTTGATGGATATCTCATGGCTCCAACTTTTTTGTTTATTAATGATAAGGCAAACTCAAATTAGTAATTCTGTGAGCATAATACTGACAAATCTATTTATTCTGATTCTAGGAAAAGTTTTTTCTTGTACAAGGCATTATTCTGTTTATGTTGTTAAAAGTGCGAAGGTACTTAACGAATGATATGATGAAGTATTAAAATTAAACAACCCTCCCCCCTTTGCTGTGTTTTTTTTCCTGGCCAATGCTCATGCAAAGTTTCATAAAATACGACTATGGGCAGTTTTGAAATTAATGAGCTATGCAATATAAAATGTGTATGCAAGATTTCTGTGAAATTGTAGACCAGAACAGTCGTTGAATCTTTTAAAGATACATTTCTGGGCTTAAAGTATATGGTCCTTTCTTGTTCTCTTTTGTCCTTTTATTTGTTTTCCTTGTCCCCACTGATTTCTGAAACCTGAGGATAATATTGCTTTTCAATATTTCATAGCAGAGTATGCTTGTTTACTTAATGGCCTCCCTTCTAGGGACTATTTCAAGTAGATTCAAGTGTGTGGGGAGAAGATATGGAGGGAGGAAGAATGAGTGTTTAATTTGTTC